TAAAATTTAGTTATGTTAAATATTTTTTTATTTAAGTATTTAAATAATATGTAAAATATTTAATCTTTTTTTATTTAAATTTTATTTCTTTAAACTTATTATGTAATTTTAAATATTTTGTTACATAATTATTTAGCTATTTTTATTGTTTTGTTATTTAAATAATTTTTTATTTATTTTTAAAATATTATTTTATTATTAAATTGAATAATCCATAAAATTATAATTTATATTGTTATTACATAATTTCATTATGAATTTCATAAAATTATTAATAATATGAATATTATTAAACCTACTATAATTATTTTTTGTGTTTTTAATAAAGATTTTAAAGTTATTACCATAAATTCATTATAATATTTAAATAATTGTTAAATGCTTTAATTGAAGCTTTCTTTAGATAGATATAGATAAAAGGGGGGGGGGGATAAATAGGAATTAGAGATAATTTAGGGGATGAATAGGGATTAGGTAGAGATAGAGATAATTTAAGAGAAAGTGGGGGATAGTTAGTTTTCTAATAAAAAGGAGAGGTAAAAAGGAGATAAGCCATGCTAGGTGGCAACTCCTAGTGCTTCTAGAGGGAATCTTGCACGCCCTCCAAAATTGCTAGGTTAGGGTAATAGATCAAGTAGAGGACTGCTGACATGGCAAACTCTACTTTAGTGTGTTTATATATATATATATGTGTGTGTGATGTGCCCAAAATCATACGATTTATATTTGGGCCTATTGAGGCCCAATGTCAAAATATTGAGTAATTGGGGTACAAACTTGGGTGGGCTCCGATTAAACACTTGGTTAAACTTTAAAGGGGCCTGGCCCCGATGAATTTTGGTGACCAAATTGAAGTATTGTTCATGATATCCTGAACAAGGGTCGGGCAATGCTCTCCACTCTTTAAGATTCGTTGATATAGAATTGCAGCAGGCCGGCTAGCTTCTTTTGGAATCCTCCACAGACAATGAGAAGTCTTTCAGGGCTGTGTTTGGTTTGAAAGAAAAAGTAGGGAAACGTAAGGAATTCCCTTTCTTTCCCTACCTTATTTTTTTAACAAACATATAGCTTTAGTGTCTCGCATGTAGGGGTACAACGTACAAGTCAGGTGGGCTGGGCCAGGGTTTTACTCAATCCAAGTCAAACTCAAGCCCAGACTGACACTAAGGTCAAGCCCATGCTATCAAATCTGAACATAGCCCACACTAAAATTTGATGCACTTGGTTGGGCTCAGAGACCTAGGCCGGCATGGTTCAGATTGGTCAGTGAGCCCACACTAAAAATTGATATACATGTGTGTGTATATATATGCATTGTATGCAAGTATGTATATATAAAATTGCATCAGACTCAGGCTACCTAAGGGCTAGGCCCAATCCCACCCCAAACGTTTGGGCCGAAGCCCAACACAAGGACTGAAAATCCAAGCAAATACCAGGTAAAATTGTGGGTTGGGTCAGTCCGGGTTTGGGTTGGGCCTAGCCAGTTTGCACCCCTACTAACATTTGTCCTCACATAGTGTTTGTAGTAAAGTTGCATGGGCGCTAGCGATGTCAACAAACTCCAAAAGTTTGATACCCTATTCAACTCTAAATCCTATTATCCCAGATTTGGATGTTAGAACTTGCACCCAATTAATAATTGGAACAGATTTAGATTTAACCTTATTCAATCCAATTAAAATCTAAGTATGATAAAAGAAATTAGGGAAAACTCCCAATTAGTAAGTACCTTGTACTTTGGGCCTAGTGTCACTTTAGTCCCCGAACTTTAAAAATGCGATAATTCATTACACAAACTTTCAAAACGTGCCAATTTATTACCTACTGTTAACCAACAGTTAAGTGGAATTTGAAAAGACATAAATGTCCTTTGAGTGTCATCTAATTTTCTTTATCAATCATCCAAACATTGATTAGTCCCAAATCCTTGTCTTTTCTATTCAAGAAAGTTGGGGTCACATATTAGTGGGCATTCTGGTGACCCCAACTTTCTTGAATAGAAAAGACAAGTATTTGGGACTGTTCATTTTTTATCAATGTTTGGATGATTGATAAAAAAATTTAAATGACACTTGAATGACATTTATGTCTTTTCAAATGCCACTTAATGGCTGATTAGCAGTAGATACTAAATTGGCATGTTTTGAAAGTTTGGGTACTAAATTGTGGCATTTTAAAGTTTGGGAACCAAGTGACACTAGGCAAAGTACAGGGTACTAATCAGGAATTTTTCAAAAAAAAAATTATGTCAATGTATATATGTAGTGTAATTATGTGTGTGTATATACATAGATATATAGATGGATTAAATACTTAAAGTACCCCTATGGTTTAGGAAATGGACAAAAAACTTTATCTTTTGAAAAATTACTTAAAGTCAGTGTTTTAGAACCGCGTTGACCCGGACGGTCAGACTATTTTGCCCGAAAACTGTCTAGGCAACCGATTATGTTTCACCCATAACCCGTTCTTGGCCAAAAAAATTGACTTGGTTAGAGAACCACTGACTTGGGCGAACAAACCATCGACTCGTTCAACCCGGATAGCAGTTCACATTTTAAGAAATTGCAGTTGCAAAGCAGACTGAGACCTCAGATTTGAGATCAATAATATCCCAACAAGAGAGAGAGAGAGAGAGAGAGAGAGAGAATTGTAGATCTGAAATCGCAATTCTCATATATGATATCTAAGATTGCAGATCTGAGATCTCAGTTCTCAGATCTCATATCTGAGATCATAGAGAGATTTGACTGCTAAGTTTTCTGTTATCATCGTCGTCATCGCCATCACCAGTGGACGTTAGATGCTTTTCCTCCTCTTCCTTCTTCCTCTTCCTCCTTTTTTTCCTCCCTCCCTCCTTTCTTTTCCTTTCCTTTCTTTCTTTCTTTCTCAGCCAACAACGCTTTTTATGTTTTTTCTTAGAAAAGACTGAAATGAATATTATTTTCCCTAATATTCTAAATCACCTAAACCGTTCGACCAAGACGATCGAACCGCTAACCCAAAAACTGGTAGCCAGACTGGTTCCGTTTTCGGGTCAGTTTTTAAAACCTTGCTTAAAGTACTCTGATGTTTTCTGACAATGCAGATCATTGCTAAATATTGACTATAAGAAAAAACAAAATGTCAAATTTACCGTCTATTACAATTTCACTTAAAATATGTCTTCTAAAACACCCATCCCTGACGCCCATAAGAATGGTTATAGAAAAAATAAAAAAAATAAACAAAAAGTCAACGTTTCAGCTTGACCTCAAATTTTGTTTGCTTTCTATTAAACTGATCTAATTTCTCTGTCTTCTTATCACCCCCCTTAATCCTATCAGATTCGGGAACTTTTTATGAAGAAAACTTTCAATCTATAGTTTTTTCTTTTTTTTTTTGAGAAATCCAGCTATTATTGTTTTTCTTTTCGTTGAACTATTTCCTACTATCATGAAATTTCTTCAAATGCTATTCTTTTTACTGGAGATTTGCTCACTTTGATATGTGCTCCTTCAAGTTTCGTTTTAGGAAAATTCCATATTAGTACCTTATACTTTGGGCCTAGTGATACTTTGGTCCCTAAACTTTAAAATGCAACAATCCAATACTTGAACTTTCAAAACGTGCCAGTCTAGTACCTACCATTAATCAGTTGTTAAATGACATGTTAAAAGACACAAATTCCCTTTAGGTGTCATTTAATTTTCTTTAACAACCATCCAAATGCCCTTCTCAAAACTAAAACAATGTTCATCATCTTCTTCCTCAATAATTCTATCTCTACCATTGCCTTTCTCAACAGCAACCCATGAGGGTGTATGACAACCTATGAAACATAGACAATTAGGAGATGAGAGGTGGGCTTGTGAAAACTGATTGGTCGCAAGCACCCTCTCTCTCTCTCTCTCTCTTCAAGGTCTGATTTGGGTAACGAAGCACTATTTTAGTCCCAAGGTAAAAGGTGAAGAATAATGTTTTTAAAGGATAAGTTTGACATTTTAAAAGTTTTAAATCATGCATGTCATCATGCGATACAGATAATTGATGGACTATTAATGGTACGTACTAAATTGGCACGTTTTGAAAATTCAGGTATTGGATTGTTTTGTCTAAAAATAATTGGGAGTTTTTCCTTCATTTTATTGTTTTGTCTGAAAATAAGTGAATTTCTATTTGATTTGGTATGCTATTTCTTGAAAAACAGAGGAACTATTTTGAATGAATACCAAAAAATGTGTGTTACTCGTTCATATATATATATATATTCTACATCTGTATGTACATGTGTCACTATACAATTGGAGTTATATACAATAGAGATAAATACACAAGGAATTTAGGATAGGATTATAGAGAGGAGATAAGAATACACCAAATCCCTCATCCCTCACGTTACTAAATGGATGGAACAGTCCAAATCCCTCATGTTACGGAATAGTTGGAGAGACTGGTGTAACTGATTCAGCAGTATCATCGTTATCAGTCCCCTACAAGTGGATAGGGGGGACCACTATCAACTTGGACTTGAACATAGTAAACTGAGAGGAAGGCAACGACTTAATAAGGATATCAGCAATTTGGTCACCAGAGGAGATAAAGCGAACAACCAAGTGCTTTTTCGCCACTTGCTCACGTATAAAGTGAAAGTCAATTTCAATATGCTTTGTACGAGCATGAAATATTGGATTAATAGTGAGAAAAGTAGCTCCAAGGTTATCACACCACAACAAGGGGGGATCTTGAAGAGGGATACCAATTTCAGATAGAAGGGAACTGAGCCAGATAAGTTCAGAGGTGGCAAGGGCAAGGCTTCGATATTCAGACTCGGTACTGGATCGAGACACAGTGCCTTTCTTCTTAGAAGACCATGATAGCAAGTTCGATCCCATGAACACACAGAAGCCTCCTATGACCGTCGGTTATCTAGGCAACTAACCCAATCAGCACCGGAGTAGGCAGCCAAGCGAGTGTTGGGAGATGGGCGTATGAGAAGTCCATGAGAGAGAGTCCCCTTAAGATACCGAAATATTCGCTTCACAGTTGACCAGTGCACTGGAAGGAGAGTGGAGAAACTGGCACACCTTATTTACAACAAAAGCTATATCTGGTTTTGTGAAAGTAAGGTACTTTAATGCACCCACAATACTGCGATATAAGAAGGAATCAGATGCAGAAAGAGAAATACCATATGACTTACTAAGCTTCAGGGAGGACTCCATAGGGGTAGAGGAAGGCTTGGCAACATCCATCTTTGCACGATGAAGTAAATCAATGGTGTATTTGCGCTGGGATAGAAACAGGCCATGACATCCCAGTGAGCTTCAATGCCAAGAAAGTAATGAAGAGATCCCATATCTTTGACAACAAAGACAGTAGAGTGGTGCCGGACATATAAATAAATAAGAGCATACAACACAGTGGTGCCAAACATATAAATAAATAGAGAGGAATCCACCTTAGAAGTAGTAAAACCAACATGAAACAAGAAGGAACTGAGTTTAGAGTACCAAGCCCATGGGACTTGTTTCAAGCCATAGAGTGACTTCTTCAGATGATAGATGTAGTCAGGAAACTAAGAATCTACAAACCCAGGAGGTTGATTCATAAACACATCCTCTTCAAGAGTACCATGTAGGAAAGCATTTTGAATATCCAATTGCTTAATATCCCAGTTTTTGGATACAACAACTGAGAGGATCACTCTGATGGTAGTAGGTTTGACTACTGGGCTAAACGTCTCATGGTAATCAAGACCTTCACGTTGATTGAAGCCTTTAGCAACCAACCTAGCTTTGTAACGTGAAATAGACCCATTTGGGTTGTGTTTTAGGCGAAAGACCCACTTACATCCTACAAGATTCATGTAAGATTGGCGTGGAACCAAAACCCAAGTATCATTTTTCTTGAGAGCATCAAATTCTGCATGCATGGCATCACGCCACTTAGGGTGTTTGTAAGCTGAAGAGAAATGAGTAGGCTCAACATCTGGTGGCAAAGGATGAGCAGAAGCTATATAGCTTATCGGCTTAAAAATGCCTGCTTTGCTTCTAGTAACCATAGGATATGTGTTGAGTGAAGAGGGTGGAGCAGCATACCTGACAGAAGAAGAAGATAGAGAACCATCAGCTGCTTGAGAAGGCATTAAGGTGTCAAGAGAGGCAAAAGCCACAAGTACAGTATCAATAGGTGCTGAAATGTCACCATTAGGAACCAATGACAGTGAAGAGGAAGATGTAGGCTGAGATGCAACATCTTTGGAACTTGTATGCGGCTGAAAATAGCATGAACAATAGGTGGAGGCCCAATTGAAGATGAGTGCTTGCACATCATTGGAGGTGGTGATGATGTTGATGTGGTAAAAGGAAACATTCATTAAACAAGACGTGGCGGGAGATATATATCCGTCTAGTAGCTTGATCAAGGCATTTATAGCCATGATACTCATCAAGATACCCCAAGAAAATGCAACTGATAGAGCGGAATTCTAACTTGTTCTTAGCATAAGGTCATGTCAAGGGAAAGCATTGACACCCAAAGACTTTCAACAACTTGTAATTGGGAGGAGTGTGAAACAAGACCTCCCAAGGTGATTGCATGTTAAGTGTTCGTGTTGGGATTCTATTTGCAAGAAAAATAGCAGCATGAAATGCTTCCCACCAATATTCTTTCGGCATGGAAGAGTGAGCCATCAAAGTTAACCCAGTTTCAACAATTTGGCAATGTTGCCTTTCAACAAATCCATTTTGTTCTTGGGTATGAGGGCAAAAACTATGTGTAATACCATGTTGGACCAAAAATATCTTGAACTTGTTAAATTCACCATCACCATCTGATTGGAAGTGCTTTATTTTAGTATGAAATAATGTTTCAACCTTAGACTTGAACAAAGTAAAGGCCTAAAGTGCATCAGATTTTCTAAATAAAGGAAATATCCATTGAAAGTGACTGAAACCTCAATGAAGACAATATAATATCTAAATCCATTTACTGAAGTTACAGGTGCTAGCCCCCATAAATCTGTTGAAATTAATCTAATGGACTCTTATAGACAGTAGTACTAGAGGGAAATGGTAGTTTGTGTGCCTTCCCAAGAGGGCATGAAGTGCAAAATGACAAAGACATAGACGACATTAGAAGTTTATTCTGGTGGAGAACCTAACGAACCACAAGTGCAACTGGATGCCCAAGACGTGCATGCCAATTGTCAATGGAGGTCCGTTCACCAATGAAAGCTGATGGCGAAAAACTAGGAACAATAGAACAATTAGGGGATCTCACTGGCAACTGAAAGAAGGTTCTTTGTTATCTTTGCAACATGAAGGACATCATGCAAAATAAACTTTCGAGAAGAAGAAGAAAAGCTAGAAAATCCAGTATGCTTAATAAGCAAACCTGCACCATTTCCAACTTTGATTTGATCAAGACCGATATAATCAGAATGAAGGTGAAGATTCTCCTATTTTGAAGTCATATGATGACTTGCTCCAAAGTCAAGATACCAACTGTTGTCAATGAATGGAGAGGATGAAGTTGTGTATGCAGCAGGAGGAGGTGCAACAGTATCAGGATGAAAATCTCTATCATAGCGTGCTCTACACCTGAAAGCTGTGTGATTAAGTTTGTGGCAGATTTGACATCAAACACCTTGATAAGGATTTGGCTTTCGTCCCTTAGGATTCTCAGACAATTTATCCTTATGCTTTTGGTTGTCATTCCGCAGGGTTCCAGACTTAGCACTGGCTGCCACATGTGCAATGGGTTGAATAGATTCAAATAAGAGGTTTGAATGCTCCATTCTGATTTCATGATTTATGAGAAAAGCCTGAATTTCTTCAAGTGAATAGTCATCATGACGAAGGAGGAGAATGGTAACAAAGGCTTCATAATCAGGTCCTACCCCAGCTAGGATATATTGGATGATTTCAGCATCAGACAGAATCTCTCCAATTGATGCAAGGCTGTCAACAATCAGCATTGCTTTCTGTAAGTAATCTGCCATTGTTAAGTTGCCTTTCTTGAGATGCATCAATTCAAAATGCAGTTGCACTGTGCGTGCTCTAGATTTGGAAGCAAACAGTCGAGAGAGGGCATCCCAGACTGCCTTTGAGGTGTTGTGACCAACAACTTGGGCAAGGATGCCTTCAGTCAAAGGGGACAAGATCCAGCTTAGCAATAACTGGTCTTGTTGTTCCCATAAAGCAAACTCAGGATTCAAAGTGGAGTTTATACCTTCACCAATGTATTTACTTGGTGGTCTAATGGAGCCGTCTATGTAACCCATCGCCTTGAAACCTTTGAGAACAGGAATGAGTTGTGACCGCCAGAGCAAGTAATTGGTGCGATCCAACTTCACTACTGTATTATTTTGAATGACACCAAAAAATGTGTGTTACTCATTATGAGTCTCACACACACACACACACACACACACACACACACACACATATATATATATATATATATATATATATTCATATATATATATATATTCTGTATCTGTATGTACATATGTCACTATACAATTGGAGTTATATAAGATAAATACACAAGGAATTTAGGATAGGATTACAGAGGGGAGATAAGAATACACCAAATCCCTCATCCCTCACGTTACTGAATGGATGGAACAGTCCAAATCCCTCATGTTACGGAATAGATGAAGTGAATGGTGTAACTGATTCAGCAGTATCATCGTTATCATTTCTTACTTACTAAAATTTGAGATGATTTTGAACTCCAAATCTATTTTTTTAAGAACCAAACTCCATTTTATATTCTAATTAACAATAGAGATGCTTTATTTTCCAATGACCCCTTTGCTTCATGACATTGGTATTATGTGGTGGAAGAAGCTTGCACGATTGAGGATATGTTTGAAAACCATTGGGTTTTATTTTGAAATTTAAAAAACGATGAAGGGCAAAATTGACCATTAATGGGTAGTTTGGAAATTAAAAAATATTATATAAATCATGTGACATCACATGTGAATGGATTGAAACAGCACACTAACAGTAGGGGAGGATTTTGTCTATTGTCAGAAAACTTATGGGTACCTTAAGTAATTTTTCAAGCAGTAGTGCAAGTTTTTGTCCATTTGCTAAACCATCGGAGTACTTTAAGTATTTAACCCTAGATGGATTGATAGATAGATAGATTTAGATATTATGTATAATTATATAAAATTTAACCATACACCTTGAAGCTATTAGATTGTTAATGAGCAAGAAGATGATGGTCACCTACGTTTGCAAACTCAGTGATGTGGCTAAACTAAAAAAACTTAGGCTGCATTTGGCATTCCTTATTTGAAGGACTACTTATTTCCTTTTTGTAGTTAAAATGCTCCTGTAAACACTGAATTTTTAACTACAAAAAGGAGATAAATCCTGAATGCCAAATGCAGCCATATTGGTTTATCTTTCAGTGAATAAGTATTGAAGGTCATTAGGCTTGAATAGATTATACTACCCTTGCATATTTTATGATTTAATCGATTTATCCATTAAAAGGCAAAACAATAAATCGCTCAGTTCCAATGGTGGGGTGTCCTGTCTGTCATTCATCTTTATCCTGGCCTTGATGATATGATCTAGGGAAAATCCCTTTGACAGGAAATTATGTTAGTTGGTTTGGGCCCATAGCCTTTCATTCATGTTATCCAAAATACAGCCCAAGACGCGAAAAGAAGCTGCAACCAAGCCCATCCCTAGCCAATAATAAGACAAGTTACATGGCCCAGACCAAAAGTGAATAAATGAAGCCTAGCTGAGTCCATTGGGCTTAGCTTGGGAAGAATGCAAATACAAGGTACTGCATACAAGTGCATAATTGTATTTGCAGTCTTACCAAGCTGAACCTTAATTTTAAAATTTTCAACAGTCTCAATTCTACCAACATACCAAAAATCAGCAGTTTTGGGCATTTTCCAAGCGTCAGAGCAGACCTTTGACCGGAATACCCGCCCAATTGATCCCATTACCAACCGGTTCTTACTTATTGGTGATCTGATCCCACCCAAGTCCATCTCCATTGATTTGATGATCCTCGCTTCTGCTAAATCATGATCCACTCTTGGATACTGGTAAAGGCCAAACATCAATAAGAGGACCAATTGGGTTGAATGAATATGCTAAGCTTTTGACATATAAACCCACAGTTGATGGGTTTTAAGTCATGACTCACAGCTCAATAGTGCATGCGAGCCATGCAGTCCCAAATGCAACAGTTCTAGCAACTTCAGCTCTATCAACAACACGTACTGCACCAGGTCTCCCAGTATCAGTATCAGCAGCAGTTCCCCCAGCTGCCTCAACCTCAACTTCAGCAGCCGCAATTCCCGCCTCGGCACCTAGCCTCGCAGCAAGCTAAGTCTCGCCACCAAGACGAGCGCCCCTCAGGCCAAGGAGAGGTCCCCCAAAACCTCCCAAAAAACCAGGCCTCCCCCCGCAGCAGACGAGAGAGACCGGCTACCCCGATCTCACCGCGGGCGAACAGGTTGGGAGGACCCCAGCTCACCAGGTCTATGTCACCTCGGCAGTCGAAGTTTGAAACCCCACTCCTTGAGAACCAGTTCGAGGTCCTGGCAACAGATTCTAAGTAGGACCTCTCTATCCGCAGCCATCACCAGCAGACTGGGCTACTTCCTGCACAAACCATTCCGGACAGCGCAGAGGTGAGCAGCACAAACGCCGAACCCACCAAGAAGTAGAGATGCCGCCGCCGAGCTTACTGATCTGTCACCCGCGATTTGCCCGAGCTCATGGGCAAAGAAGAGGTAAGCTCGGCCGAAGTCAAAGCTCCCCTCCTCTCGGTTACATCCCCCCTGTCTTCCAAACTCCTGGCAGTCCCGATGCCCAAAGACTTCAAGCTCCCCCCTCTTGACAAGTATGACGGATTGTTTGACCTAAATGATCACGTAGATGTCTTTCAGTCACAGATGCACCTGGCGCGAGTCAGTGAATCGTGCATGTGCGTGGCCTTCTCCACTACTTTTAGGGGAGCAGCCCGTACGTGGTACCGAAACTTGGCACCTGGGTCGATAAGAAGTTGGGCGCAGTTCGCACAAACCTTCATGTCCCACTTCGTTACTAGCAAGCGGTGTCCGCGAACTGAAGAAAGTCTCCTCAGCATAGTACGGAGAGAGGGAGAATCCATCCGAAGATATATCAAGCGGTTCAATGATGCTTGTATGCAGATACCGCGCCTGGACCCCGCCGTACGCCTTGTAGCAGCTAAGAAGGGCGTGAACACAAAGAGTTTAAATGGCATGGTCATCAACCAACCAGCGATCATAACCGAGTTCCTAAAGCTTGCAGACAGGTTCATAACCACCGAAAAGGAGATCAACCAAAAGGAAGAGGGCGCGCCCGAAAAAAGAAAGAGGGAAGGAGAGCTCTCCAGTCAAGGAGACAGCCGAAAGAAAAAGGACACAGCTCGGGGGGCAAGGCCGGGTCAATTATTCCGACCTCCTGTAGCGGACCGAGCCGATTACACCCCACTGAACGCGAAGAGGGCTGAAATCCTGATGGTGATCAAGGACGCCCCGTACGTGAAGTGGCCACCCCGTTTGAGGGGGAATCCCAATGAAAGAGATAAGAATATGTATTATAGTTTTCACAAAGATCACAGTCACAGTATCGAGAGTTGTAAAAACCTCCGCGATGAGATAGAGGAGCTCATTCGTCGCGGGTATCTAAGAAACTTTGTACAGAATAATAATAATAGTAATAAAATAGGTCGACAAGGGGAGCGCGGTAAGGATGCTCCCGAGTCCAGCAGCAGGCCGGTCAAACAACCGCAGAGGCAGCCTCCGAAGGAGAGGTCAGTCCGGGGAACCATCCACATGATAGTGGGAGGCTTTATCATCGCGGGGTGCAGCTTAGCAGCAGCTTGGACTTTGGTTCGTGAAGCCACCCGGGAGGAGCAGAACCCCCCAAAGCGGTCGAGGACAGAAGAGTCAATTTTCTTCACAGAAGATGATGCACGAGGAGTCCACTACCCCCACGACGACGCGCTCGTAATAAAACTAAGAGTCAACGACTTTGAGGTCAGGCGTGTACTCGTTGACTCAGGCAGCTCAACCGACATCCTCTTCAAAGCTGCATTTGACCAGCTCTAGTTGTAGAGAAGCGACCTGAAGCCCGCAGACACTCCTTTGGTAGGCTTCAGCAGAGAAGAAGTCTGGCCCCTTGGGAAAATAACAGTACCTGTGGAAGTCGACACGTGGCCTTGTGTGGTCAGATTCAAGCACGACTTCTTGGTGGTCGTGACCCCCTCCCCCTACAATGCCATAGTAGGTCGACCGATCACCCATGTCCTACGGGCGGTGGTCTCCACTTACCATTTGGCTATGAAGTTCCCAACCGACTTCGGTGTGGGAGTAGTGCGGGGCGACCAACCCGAGTCCCGTAAGTAATACGTCGCCGCCCTGAAGGGAAAAACCAAGGTAGCCGACAACCTCGAGCTGGAGCGGCCTATGGAGCAAGGCAAAGAATGAGCCGCGCCAACAGAAGAAATAGTCACGGTTCCGACCTCAACAGTGGACCCAGCTCGAACGCTTCAGATCGGCGCTTCCGTCCAGGAACCTCTACGATCAGAACTGGTAAGTTTCTTACTTCAAAATTTAGATATTTTTGAATGGTCCGCGGCAGAGATGCCCGGTATAGACCCCAAACTCATAACTCACAAGCTGAACACTAATCCTATAGTTAGGCCCGTTAGACAGAAGAAACGCAACCTAGCCCCAAAGCGGTGGAAAGCGGTCGACGAGGAGGTCGGAAAGCTCCTCGCAGCTGACTTCATAAGAGAAGTCCACTACCCGAGTTGGGTAGCCAACCCCGTCCTGGTAAAGAAGGCCAACGGCAAGTGGCGCATGTGTGTCGACTACACCGACTTGAACCGTGCTTGCCCAAAAGACTGCTTCTCGCTCCCCAGAATTGACCGATTGGTGGATGTGACCTCACGGCACGAGTTGCTAAGTTTCTTGGACGCCTATTCGGGCTATAACCAGATCAAGATAGACCCGGTGGACAAAGAAAAGACTGCCTTTATCACGGAATTCGGCCTATACTGTTACAAGGTTATGCCCTTTGGGTTGAAAAACATCGGGGCAACCTTTCAAAGGCTTGTAAATAAGTTGTTTGTGCCGTTAATCGGGAGAAAAGTAGAATGCTATGTAGACGACATGGTCGTCAAAACTCAATTCTCTCATGAATTAATACAAGATTTGCACTCTATTTTTGAAATTCTACGTAAATTTAATATGAGGCTGAACCCAAA